TACTATCTATTATCTATTTTATTTTATATTATTTATTTAGCTCCTTATTATTATTTATCTTACTTTACTGCTTTACTATTATGCTTTATTTTTACACTATATTACTTTATAACACTACTATAGCCTAGCTTTATCTTATTAGAACTATAATAGCTACTAGAAAGGCTATATTAGTAGCTATAGTTATAATTTTAGGCTATAGGACTTTAGGTAATTTTATATTAATATATATATATTATACCTTAAGTTTAATAATTATAGTAATTTACTTAGCGCCTTTATTTTAAGCTTAGGTATTTACTACTAATAGCTTAATAGAGATCTTATAATTAAAGAGTATATTTATAAGTTACTTAAGGTATAGGATTTCTTAGTTAGCTTTAATAACTTTTAGTATAATTAAATATTTAGTTTTTAGTATTATAAAGAAGCCTCTTATTATTAATTTAATAGTATCTTAGTAGTAGCTATATAAGTAAAAATCTTATATAAGGCTAATTACTTAATCTAAGATTATTATTACTAAGTAGTATCCTATATAGCCTTATTTAAGATTATAAAAGTCTAGTGTTAGGTAATTACCTAGCGCTATATTTATAATTAATTTATAAGGCTAGTAGTAAATCTACCTCCTTATTTTACTAAGACTATATAAATTATAGTCTTATATTATTATAGCGTTAACTTAGGTTAAACGCACTCTATAAGTAGTATTTATAATCTTTTATAAAGCCTTAGCACCTAGGTAGCTAAGACGCTTATACTATATTATTATATTACTAAAAAGTAGTTATTATTATATTAGTATTATATATTTATTTCTTTTTTATAAGGTTAATAGTAAATTATTAGTAGAATATATGGTAAAAGCGCCTTTACTTTTTTAGCTATAGCTATATTACTTATAATATTTAAGCACTTATTAGTTACTTTATTCCTTAATATAGCCTATAAGGCTATAGTCTATACGCCTTAAGTAATTATTACTTAGGCTTATATCCTACTATATACCTTATTAGTATATCCTTATAAAAGAAATAAGTAATATAGTAAATATACTATAATATATTATATTATATATATAAAGCTTAGTTAGTAAGCTATTAGTGCCTTTTAGAATAATCTTTATAGTACTATATTCTTTAATTATAACTTAGGTAGTACTAGCCTAAATATAGTTACTAATTAAGACTACTACTAATATAATAAACTATAATATATAGTTAAATATATAGTTAGTAGTGCCTAAATTAAGTAAGGCTAAATTACCTAGCTTATAGCCTTATAAAGTAGTATAAAAGGCTACTTTTATATAGTATTTACTATATAGTTAATATAACTTAGCTTTAATTCTTTATACTTATTTAGTAAGGTTAGGATTACTTACTATATACTTATTAATTTATTACTAATATTATATATTTACTTACTAATTATAAGGCCTTTATAACTTATTTATAAAGTAATAAAGTTATAATAAATAAGAATTAAAGTATATAAAGCACTTTACTTTTTTACTTATACTTTACTAATAGTAATATCTCTTATTAGTTAATTTATTCTTTTTTACTACGTTTTTACTATATATTAGGTTATTATTACTATTACTTTTAGTTAGGCTAAATACACTATAGCCTACTTAGCTATAGTATAGTAAGTTATTAGTAAGGGCTTTAACCCTCTCTAGTGCTATCTTATAGAGAGACTACTAGTTAAGATTATTCTAGTTACTTATTATTTTACTAGTTACTATATATAAATCTAGCTAAAAGCTAAGTAAACTACTTTATAAAGTAGTAATAAGGTTATTAAACTAAATTAATAGCTATTAGTAGTTAGGTAAATTAACTTATACTAATTTACTATAGGCTATATTCTATTTATTAAGCTATATAGTAAGATTTTTTTTAATAGTTAAGGCCTTTTACTAGGCTTTTACTAACACTTTACTATATTTATTATAAATATACTTTATATACTTTTCTTTAGTTATTTTTACTCTTATACTAAGCTTATTAAGCTATTTAGCTAGTAATTTACTAGATTTATAATATTTTTCTTAAAGATCTATAGATATAGTAAATTTAACTATATTAGCTATATCTTTAATATCTTTTTACTAAGTAGTATACTTATATACTTCCTTATAATAGTAGCTTATCTAGCTATTTAAGTATATAAGATTATATAAGTTAAAATTATTTAATATTATTATATATTTAGTTTTATATATAAGCCTATTAAGTATAGCTATAATAGCCTTACTTCTTACTATATATAGCTATATAGTTACTTACTAAGATATCTTAGTAATTACTATAGCTATAGTAACCTCTTAGTAAGTAGTAAGCTTATTTTTAGTTAAGGCGTATAGATATTATATTATAAGTAGCTTTATTAGTTTCTTTAGATATATCTTAAGGATTAATTAGTCTACTACTATAACCTTTAGGTTAATATACTCCTAAAGATTATAACGCTTTACTTTTACTTAGATAGTGTTAAGCTATATAAACTAATTACTATATAATTATAAGATAGTTACTTTATTATTATAGTTCTTATTAATTATTATAATAGTATTTAATTAGTAAATAGATATATTAGTTATTATAAATATATATATTAGACTATTAATTATTAAATAGTAAGGATTATAATAGTTACTTAATTAATTCTATTATATATTCTATATTTATTATAAATTACTATAGAAATAAGAAAAACCCCTATTTCTTAGTTAGGAAATCCTTAGCTAATCCTAGCGATATTATTAGTAAAGTTACTATTAGAAGTAGGGCTAATTCACCGCCTATTCCCTGACAATTCGCCGCAGGGCAACTGTGCATTTGCTAGTGAATTCACGTGTAATTCCGCCACATTTGACATATCTCTAGTCCTAGGGTTAGAGTTATAGTTAGGGTTAGGGATAGGGTTATATAAACCTATATATCTTTATATCTAAGTTATAGTATATGATTTTACGGGTTGTGAGCCTCTGTAGGCTTGATCGACGCGCCGTTTTCTAGTAGCATCTACATAGTGGAACACGGTAAAATCTTCGTTTGGGGGTCGCTCAGGTAGTAGATTTAGTCCATTAACTATAGCACACCATTGCTCAACTCGTAGAAACAATCCTAGTGCAAGACCATCCGTGACAAATCGAGCTAGCACAAGCATTGCCAGCACATTAAACATGGTCAGCATATACAGGTATTGCCTGGCAGGCTAGACCGGTGCAGTGTGAGGGTCTCAGGGCCCCTGATAATCAACGAATAGATTTAGTGCTCATAGGTCCAGGTCTAAATACGAGACGTAGCATGAAGAACAGGAAAGGGAGGACACGCTGTGCAGGCAGTGCGTCACTGTTAGCAAAGGAGCTCATCTCGCGATAGCCTTGACACTACCCTGGCGCGGGGTCCTGTGCCTGGTCCCGTGGCACAGTACGAGCCATAACAGTACGAGCATACCAGTACAGGCCATACATATCATGCTATCTATTCTCGCGGTGACTAGGAAGTAGGTACCCTGACTTATCGCTAGGGTATATAGTGGGAAATCATCGGTTAGGTCTGGGTAAACGCTCTATTACATGTTAGGTGAAGCCAGCCCAGAGGCCCATCATACAGTGGTCACTGGCCAAAGGCGTGAGATACTGTGCTATATGGCTCAAGTTGTAGGATATCTGTAGTAGTCCTACAGGCCGAATGCCCTTCGGGAGGCCAGCCACAGCGTTAAACCTATTCTAAGCACCCATCTAGGACACTCATCCGAGACAGCCATACATCAGAGATACACCGGTTCTAGGTCGGGCTGGGTTCTTGAAGTGATCCGCGGGTGGTATTATGGATGCGAACGAACGACTGAGATTGTGAAATGGCGCTCGATGCAAAGCACGTTGTCAAATCATCGTCCGACCTGTGCGATTAAAACTGCCCAGGGTCGCCAGTAGGCAGGTCAGTTTCCGCGTGTTGTGGCACGAAAGGACGTCTGCCTTGTCAAAAAGCGAGAGGTTTGCTTACGAATCGCGTACGACTGGCTAGCCGTCTGAAGAGAATGGAGCAGCAGACGAGCACTGTGCTCCGAAGCTGCACTGCCCACAGCGTAAGCAAAGGCATAACTTAGCATAGTCCACAGCAGTCTATGAGTGTCTGCCGATAAGTCCCTACGCCCTAGCTCAGTCATGCCTCGCACGACAGGTACTGCCCATAGCGCTTGTGACTTTTGATTGATTGCGTCGACCGCATTACGATGAAGATGCCGCTATACGCATAAGCTGCCTGTCTAAACGATACGCGAAAGCACACAGCCCCAAGGCATAAGCTCCTGGTCCACAGCATGCCCCTGATAAGCAGGCCCTGTAGCGGTTTTTGGGGTGCGGCGACAGTGAGTACGTTCTGGGACGTTGGATGAGTAAGGCCTCCTCAGTGGCAGCGACATGTCACACAACCAACTCAGCCTGGGCGTAGCACACTGCTCCACAAATAGTGTAAGATGGGTAGCTGACGGAGAAGACTTGCAAAATGCAGACGAGGTGTGTGCTATACCTTGGCCAAGAACAAGGCCATTTACAACGAGTGCCTGATTGAGAACATCGATGAAGTGCAGGCTACTTTATATGGAAGCTACAGTATTGTCGCACGTCGATTATTTTGTTTGAGCGACCTGTGACACTGCTGACTGACAGAACAACCGCAGCGCCCATCTGGAGTTTGTGGTCCTCAGCCGCCGCTATCAGGGATTGGACTCTATGCGTTCCTAACCGTAAACCTAATATTCAAAACGGCCGAATCAGGCGACGCTGTAAATTCAAACCCGTCTGAATTTCCAAACAAGCCCATTAACCGCGGCTGATACCCCCACACAACCGCCTCCGTGATCTCCTTTACCCCCAGTACACCCTTGTGCTGTATTAGCATCCGCGCCGCCCCCGCGCCGTGCGTGCTCCCCAGAATGGCGTCTCCCTGCCGCGTAGCCATCTTGATCACCGCGTGGTTCTTTTACCCCGGGACGCGCTTGTACCCCGCCTCCTTGAGCGCATCCACGACAATTTTGAACGTCGGGCCGTACGTGATGTGCGTCCGGAAGACCACCTTGAGGTTTTTGGGATCAAGCCTTTTGTACTGGCACCCCTCGAGCCACTGGAAAAAGGCAAAGTCAGACAATGTATCCAGATCGGGCACAGTTCCGACGCCGTATTCTTTGACTACGTGTCTAGGGCTCATATTTTCGTCAAAAATGAAGGCGCTGGCGGAAGGGTTGACGACGTTGCTATAGACAGCTTTAGTTGGCTGTTTGTGCGGACACGTTAGTATAGATCTAGTGTAGATACTTTATCCTAGGGCTGGGGAATGAGATCCCTTTCTAGGCTTACTTACCTCCCCCTTCTTACCATTCGCCTGCGCAAAATCCTTATTATGATAATGATAATACACGCCAGACTGCTTCTCATCAACCGGAAACGCTGTGTCCTTGAATGCTTCTTTGAGATACTTCGTATGCAGCGGCTTCAGACCGTCTTTAAAGGGGTACCATGATGTCTGAAGAGTCCATCCCCACCGTGCCGCAGCGTTTGGGTCCTGGAACGGGCTCGCCACAGAAACGCCGCCGTTCGCCTGTGCAGCTTGCGCATTGTTCAGCGGCATGAGAGCCCGAAGGTACGCGCCCTTCTTGACGCGGCCTTCATAGTCGCTTGGAAAATTGGGGAATTGGCCCGCGCGCTTAGAGAGGCTGATCTCGTCCGGGGCAGGGAGCGCTGGCGATGTGGGAGACGCGGTGAGAAGGCTGACTTGGAAGAGGACCAGCAATAACAGGCTATAAAGCCGAGAGAATGACGTTACATTGATCATTGTTACAAGGAACTTGGCTCTCAAAGCAAGTAATCAAGTAACGAAGAGTGTCGAAGAACATGACTCGTCCCAGTTGGGCGAGTAGTAGCTTGTCATCTTGATTTGACGGGTCGCTGGAAATTTGTATCCAGGATGGAATTCCATCTTTGTTCTCAGAAAAAGTAGTGCCGAGACGATGTCGGAATAGCCAAAGGTCAATCGGTTGTTATTCTATACAAAGTCGCTAGAAAAAAAAGAGTTCTGTCCGAACTTATGATCATCATGCAACTTGAATATTGCCCGGGCGCGCATATGGTGGGCTAATGATGAAAGGGCGAAAAAGCAGCGAGAAAGAAACGAGTTTCCCCTTACGGTAATCTCCGTTGATACATGCAAATAGAGTGACGCACGGAGCGGCCGTGTATGGGGACTAAGGCGGACATGGCTAGGCCGGGAAAGATATGGGGCTGATCTGTAAGGCTGGAGGGAAGAAGTACTATGTAGAACACCCTAATGCCAAACCTTTTGCGGCCATGTTTCCTGCTGTCAAATCGTAGGGATTGTAATTGTTAAATGTGGCGGAAGTTGTTAAATGTGACAAAAGTACACGTGAATTCACCGGCGAATGCACAGTTGCCCTACGGCGAATCACCAGGGAATAGACAGTGAAATTGCCCCCCTTTAATAGTGATTTTTGTTAAATGTGGCGGAATTACACGTGAATTAACCAGCGAATGCACAGTTGCCCTACGGCGAATCGTCAGGGAATAGGCGGTAAATTAGCCCCACTTTTAGGGCAAGTCTACTAATAATATCGCCAGGATTAGCCAGGGATTTCCTAACTAAGAAATAAAGGGTTTTCCCTATTTCTATAGTAATTTACTATAAATATATAATATATAATAGAATTAATTAAGTAACTAATTATAATCCCTACTATTTAATAATTAATAGTCTAATATATATATTTATAATAACTAATATACCTATTTACTAATTAAATACTATTATAATAATTAATAAGAACTATAATAATAAGGTAACTATTTTATAATTATATAGTAATTAGTTTATATAGCTTAACGCTATCTAAGTAAAAGTAAAGCGTTATAATCTCTAGAAGTATATTAACCTAAAGGTTATAGTAGTAGACTAATTAATCCTTAAAATATATCTAAAGAAACTAATAAAGCTACTTATAACATAATATTTATATACCTTAACTAAAGATAAGCTTACTACTTACTAAGAGGTTACTATAGCTATAGTAATTACTAAGATATATTAGTAAGTAACTATATAGCTATATATAGTAAGAAGTAAGGCTATTATAGCTATACTTAATAGGCTTATATATAAAACTAAATATATAATAACACTAGATAATCTTAACCTATATAATCTTATATACTTAAATAGCTAGATAAGCTATTATTATAAGGAAGTATATAAGTATACTACTTAGTAAAAAGACGTTAAAGATATAGCTAATATAGTTAAATCTACTATATCTATAAATCTTTAAGAAAAGTATTATAAATCTAATAAATTACTAGCTAAATAGCTTAATAAGCTTAGTGTAGTAGTAAGAATAACTAAAGAAAAGTATATAAAGTATACTTATAATAAATATAGTAAAGTGTTAGTAAAAGCCTAATAAAAGGCCTTATCTATTAAGAAAGATCTTACTATATAGCTTAATAAATAAAACGTAGCCTATAGTAAATTAGTATAAGTTAATTTACCTAACTACTAATAGCTATTAATCTAGTTTAATAACCTTACTACTACTTTATAAAGTAGTTTACTTAGCTTCTAGCTAGATTTATATATAGTAACTAGTAAAATAATAAGTAATTAGAATAATCTTAACTAGTAGTCTTTTTCTAAGATAGTACTAAAGAAAGTTAAAGCCCTTACTAATAACTTATTATATTATAGCTAAGTAGGCTATAGCGTATTTAGCCTAACTAAAGGTAATAATAATAATAACCTAATATATAGTAAAGACGTAGTAAAAAAAAATAAATTAACTAATAGAAGATATTACTATTAATAAAGCGTAAGTAAAAAAGTAAAATACCTTATATACTTTAATCCTTATTTATTATAACTTTATTACTTTATAAATAAGTTATAAAGGCCTAATAATTAGTAAGTAAATATATAACGTTAGTAATAAATTAATAAGTATATAGTAAGTAATCTTAACTTTACTAAATAAGTATAAAGAATTAAGGCTAAGTTATATTAACTATATAGTAAATACTATATAAAGGTAGCATTTTATACTACTTTATAAGGCTATAAGCTAAGTAATTTAGCCTTACTTAATTTAGGCACTACTAACTATATATTTAACTATATATTATAGTTTATTATATTAGTAGTAGCCTTAATTAGTAACTATATTTAGGCTAGCACTACCTAAGTTGTAATTAAAGGATATAGTACTATAGAGATTACTTTAAAGAACGCTAATAGCTTACTAATAAAGCTCTATATATATAACGTAATATATTATAGCGTATTTACTATATTACTTATTTTCTTTATAAGGCTATACTAGTAAGGTATATAGTAGGATATAAGCCTAGGTAATAATTACTTAAGGTATATAGATTATAGCCTTATAGGCTATATTAAGGAATAAGCTAACTAATAAGTACTTAAATATTATAGGTAACGTAGCTATAGCTAAGAAAGTAAAGGCGCTTTTACTATATACTCTACTAATAATTTACTACTAACCCTATAAGTAAGAAATAAATATATAACGTTAACATAAAGATAACTACTTTATAGTAATATAATAATATATTAGCACAACAGGTAAGCTAGTCTCTTAGATAGAGAATTCTAGCTTAGGAGAATATAAGAGAGTATATCTCTTATATAAAGATATATCCTATAGAAGCAAGAATATAGGATAAAAGGGAGATATAAATACTTATACCTAGGGTAAATAAATAGAGGATATAAGGATATATAGTTAAAAGAGAGTATAGTAGTTAGATTATTAACTATTTGCTTGCTTAGAGAGAGAAGGAAAGGAAACTAGAAACAGGAAGAATTCTAGCCCTTATATAGACTTACACAGCTTACTAGAATATTCTATACTTACGTAAGCTGCTTATAAATTAACCCTTAGTTGCGTAATATAATAACCTTAAGTAAATAACCCTAACTTAAAACAATAACCTTATAGGAATAATAGAGGTAGAAGGTAGGATCTAGAGAGATCTTAGATATTCTAGTACCTTCTATAATCTTTAGTTAATTACGTAATTAGACATGTTTACGTAACTAATATATATATTAATCTACTAAGTAAGTAGATTATAAATATATATATCTTATATATATATACCCTCTATAATAGAGGAAATATAAGATAAAGAAGTATAAGAATACTTAGAGATATTCTTACTTCTAATACTTCCTCTTTTGCTCTATTATAGAGTAAAAGTGGTTAAGTGAAAAAAGTTACCCTGGAGTTGCGTAGTAGCGTATAAGGTAAATATTAATAAGTATAATAACTTATTTATAAAAAATCCTAATAATAATAGGAAAAATATACTATATGTATAGGTATATTATATAGGCTTATTATTGTTAAATAGGCCTATAAGCTTAACAAATTCTTGAAATTTAACCCTAGGAAGGGGTTTTGTTAAGCTATCTGTAGGTATAGAAGAAGTAGGAATATATTCTACTTTTATATTGCTATTTTTGACTTCTTAATAAGTATAGTAGTAGTATAAGGCAGTATGCTTAGTCCTCTGATAATATTTAGGGTTATAGGCTAAGCTTAAGGCTGTATTATTATCTGTTTTAATATTTATAGGGGTTATATTATACCCTATTTTAGATAATAAGCCTTTTAGCTAGACTGCCTCCCTAATAGCTTCCTGTAGGCTATTAAATTCAGCCTTAGTAGTAGATAGGGATATAGTTAACTGTTTTTTAGATTTCTAACTAATAGGGCCCCTTAATAAGGTAAAGATATAACTAGAAGTAGATTTTCTAGTTTCTTTATAACTTGCCTAGTTAGAATTAGTATATCCTACTAGATTAAGGGTATTATTAGAGTTATTAATATCTATATTACCTTAATAAGTAATATTATAATTAATAGTCTTTTTTAAATATTTTAAAATACCTTTTTCTTGCTTAAGTAGGAATTCTGTTGGGTTATAGAGGTAGCGAGAGGTAAAGGATACGCTATAGGCTATATTAGGCCTAGTTATAAATATAGCGTATATAAGGGAACCTATAAGGCGTTAATATTCTTTTAATAGGTCCTTAGAAGGAGTATAACCTTCTAATTTGTTACCTAGAGGGCTACTTAATATACCTAGAGATATAGGTATATTATTTCCTTTTGCTTCTAGTAGATTAAATCTTTCTAGAAGTTGTTGGATATAATGGGCTTAAGAGATAGTTATAGATCTTCTAGATCTATCTCTTGTTATATAAAGCCCTAGAAATTTAGAAACTTTACCTAGGTCTTGAATCTCTATATATTTAGAGATTTTACCCTTTATATTTTCTATATACTTAATATCTTTATTAAGTATAAGAAAATCATTAACATAGGTAATAATGTAATAAGGATTATTTTTATCCTAGTTATAATAGGTGGCTTTGTTAGATTTTAAAGATATAAAACCTATATCTTTTAATATAGATTTAATCTTTAACTGCTACTACCTAGGAGCTTGTTTAAGGCTATATAAAGCCTTTAAAAGTAATAATATCTAATTCTTATTATTTTCCTAATTTATAGTATTTAAATTAGGGTATTTATTAAAGAAATTAGATAAAGGGATATTAGAAGGGTTTATATATACCTCTTCTTCTAAATCCCTATATAGAAAGGCTCTAATAATATTAATTTGTTAGATTTCCTAATCTAAGGCTGCTGCTATAGCTAATAGTACCTTATAAGTAGTAGGGTTACTACCTGTAGCAAAGATTTAAAAGTAATCTAGCCTATATTTTTGCTAGAAACCTCTAAC